GAGTGTTGCCTATTATTATCTCATTTTAGACTTTTGTCTAAGATGCGCTGTAATGATCTTTTGTAACTTAACCCCAAGTGAAGGTGGGTTTGAACTTAAGTTAAAACTTTGATGATTCAAAGACTTCCGCTGTAATAGTTTAAATGGTTTTAAATTAGCCATTACTTTGTTGTATTTATTAAGGAAATGTTTCAGATTACGTGACATCTCTCTTGATGAAAATGAGGGTGTTACAAGTTGGTATCAGACCCAGGTTTAAGGTAATTAGGCTAAAACTTGCTTAGCTTAAGCTTAAACTGAGAAGATTGTTAGAGCTTTAGTTTAAGGTAATAGGTTAAGATTTACTTAGCCTAAGCTTAAACTGAAGGGATTATTAGAAGCACATGTTTATTGTGTATTGGCGATGCTTAGCATGCGATTAAGTTTGATCCTACGTCACTACTCGACTTAGTATTCCTTTTTATTTGTAGGAGACATGGTTCGCACCATTCACACCAGGGCTATCAGACGCTGGCGCGGACGCGGATACGGAACCCGTAGGACGCCTTACGGGCTAGGACCGAATAGTGGGTCTATTGACAGTCACCGCCCCAGCGTCGGACAGGTTCCCGATACCCAATCTGGAAGCGATAGTCCGACCCACACTGGTGAAACGTCATCATGCGAGCCCATCGGGCAAGGGACCACGCCCGAACCTTCGGAAGACTACACGCCCCGCACCCCTACACGTGAGGACATGATGGAGACTATAGAGAACTTGAGGGGCGAAAACACAAGGCTAAGAGAGAAGGTGACCCGAACGTTAGATGACAATACTAGACTGAATGAATGGCTGAACAATCTTCAGCGGGCACATGTCGAACAAGGAGGAACCCTAATCGAGCTAATTGAAGAGAATGCGGATTTTTCGGACCAGTGTCATGCCCTGATTTGGGACAAAGTTGTGCTTGAACAAGAGCGGAGAATTGCTGCTCGCCCAGTAGGCACTAAAATCAGAGACAGAGTTCACTTCTATAAGAAAATGACCGTAGACTATGCTGGTGTAGTGAGGGGTTCTCCGAATGGGTCTGATGCATCAAGAATGGCCCAAGGGCTAGTGTGTGGTGGCACTCCAGGCCCTCCACGTCATTTGAAGAATGGATAAGGGACCTTTATCTCCCTTACTACCCCGTAGATCAGTTTTAGACATGGGAGCAGGGATGAGAGAAGGATCTTTTGAGTAGGTGAATTAATTATACGTGTCTAGATAGTTTTCATCTAACCAGTACTTCAATAGAACTTTTGGAGCATTCACATGTGTTTAGAGCTATGAAGCATCCCGTCTTTTGTAAGTAAGTGGGATTTTGTGATGTCTCTCTTCCCATGTTTGTTTGAACACGAAATATATATATATATAGCTTATTGCGCGTTATGAAATTTTTGATGAGAATTCCTTATTATGTATTTCGCTTATATATAGTGGTTATACTATATATGAATATATATGTATATGTGTAGATATATATCTATATACATAAATGTAATGTGTTAAGTCGACTTTAGAACCGTGTTAAATCGTTAATACTCTACGTTATCAGTATGGTTTCTCGCGGATCAACAAGGAACGCCCTCAATGGGAGAGATGTTAATGGCATGGCCCCACCGACAGTTCGGGGACGGACACGAGCCCAAAGTCGAGGTCGCGGAAGTGTCCGAACCGCTAGTTCGGGTACGACCCCATCCACGCCAGCTAGTTTGGCTATCGGTAGGAGCCAAGGGGGCCAAGGAGGAGAAATTCCTCTCACAAAGGAAGTGATGGCTGAACAAATGGCACAAGTCCTCCGGGATACATTGCCAAATATGCTTAAAGAAATGYTGGGTGACAGACTGAAGGATAATGAAGGTGGAGAGGAAGGAAGCGTTCACGAGAACACTCAAGCCCCTGAAAGGGTGGAAGTGTTTGATAAAGAGAAGGTGGAGTCGCTCATTGAGAGAACTGAGTTGACTGCAAAGGAGAGAGGATGCAGTTTTAAAACATTCAAAGGCACCGGGCCGAAGGAATTTAAAGGAATAGAGGGCCCAGTTGGCCTGATGAACTGGGTAGCCAAGATGCAGAGTTGCTTCAAAATTTGTAGATGCGCGGGAGATCAAAAGGTGACTTATGCTGCTACAACCTTTGTGGACTATGCATTGCATTGGTGGGAGTCTGAATGTGCAATCAGAGGTGATGAGGATATTGCCGCCATGACGTGGGAGCAAATGAAAAAGACGATGATGGATAAAACTGCTCACAAACGGAGGTGAACAAGCTAGAATCCGAATTTCTGAGATTGAAGCAAGGATCATTGTCAGTTCAAGAATATGTTAACGAATTTCTTGAAAAAGCGAGGTTCGCCAGCTACCAGGTGGCTACTGAGGAGAGAAAGATAGGTCGTTTCAAGGACGGCCTAAGGATCGAAATCAAACGTTACGTGGACATGACCAAGCCAACCACGTTTGTCCAAGCAGTAGAAATGGCGAAAGTAGCAGAAGAGAACAACGCTAGGGAGAACCATGATAGAAGGGATGCAAAGAGAAGATGGGAAGGATCGAACAAGTCTGACAAGAAGCCAAAATGGACTCCGACTTTGGCAAAAATACGAAGCGAGGGATTCTCTATTCCTCAATGTAACAAATGCAACAAGAGGCATAAGGGAGAGTGCAGAGCAGGGAGCCTGACGTGCTATAGATGTGACAAACCGGGGCACACCGCACGAGAATGCCTGGAAGGAAGGACTTGTTACGAATGTGGGGCTACGGGACATTTGCGTCCTGACTGTCCAAAACGTCGCAATGGTGCGACACCCCACGAGAAGACAGTGAACAACGGATTCGGGAAGAGAGCGGAAAACAAAAAGGAACTGCCTAAGGGACACGGTCGAGCTTACAACATGACTTTGGAAGAGGCAAAAGAAACACCCGACGTCGTATCTGGTATGTTCCCTATCAACAATGTGTCTGCACATGTGTTATTTGATTTGGGTGCAAATGGTAGTTTTGTGTCTACCACTTTCTGCCACTATCTGAATAGTAGTGCCCGTAAGCTAGACAAAACCTACACTGTAGAAACAGCCGACGGTAGTCAGCGTAAGGTAGAAGAAGTGTTCGATGAATGCACAATTGTTATAGACGGGAAGGAATTCCCCGTTAGGCTTATGCCGATGTGTTTAGGAGGTTTTGACGTAGTCTTGGGGATGGATTGGCTATCCAACAATCATGCGCAAATAGTGTGTAATAAGAATATGATCAAGATTCAGACTCCGGAAGGAGAAACAATTCATGTTTACGGTGATCGAAAGAAGTGTTGCGTAGGGTTGATCAATGCAATTAAGGCAAATAGGTGTCTACGGAGGGTATGTGAGGCTTACTTGGCATACTCCATCGATGCCAAGCTCGAAAAGAAGACATTACAAGATGTTCCAGTGGTAAGGGACTACCCAGAAGTATTCCCGGATRAATTGCCAGGAATACCACCGGAACGTCAGGTAGAGTTCCGAATCGATTTGGTACCAGGTGCGCTACCGATCACAAGGGCACCTTATCGGTTAGCCCCAACAGAAATGCAAGAGCTGATGAAGCAATTGTAGGAACTCTTAGATAAAGGATTTATAAGGCCAAGCTCGTCACCATGGGGAGCACCTATTTTATTCGTCTAGAAGAAAGACGGCACGATGAGGATGTGCATCGATTATCAGGAATTGAACAAAATCACGATAAAGAACAGATATCCATTGCCAAGGATCGGCGACCTTTTCGATCAGTTGCAAGGAGCCAGCTGTTTCTCAAAAATCGATTTGAGGTCAGGATACCATCAGTTGAAGGTTCGAGAAGAGAACGTGTCGAAGACCGCTTTTAGGACTCGTTACGGACACTATGAATTTGTAGTAATGCCGTTTGGGTTAACAAACGCACCTGCAGCATTCATGGACTTGATGAATCGAGTTTGTGGACCGTATTTGGACCAATTTGTCATTGTCTTTATAGACGACATTTTGATTTATTCGAAAAATGAGAAGGAGCATGAACGACATTTAAGGGTGATTCTTGAACTACTAGCCAAGGAGCAATTGTACGCCAAGTTCTCAAAATGCGAGTTTTGGTTGTATGAGGTACAATTTCTCGGTCACATAGTTAATACGGAAGGGATCAAGGTGGATCTGGCTAAGATTGATGCGGTGATGAACTGGGAATCACCAAAGTCAGTAACGGAGATCCGAAGTTTTCTAGGCCTACCAGGGTATTACCGAAGGTTTATCCAAGATTTCTCCAAAATAGCAACACCTTTGACAACACTGACAAAGAAGTCGGTTAGGTTTGATTGGGGGACGAAACAAGAAGAAGCTTTCCAGACACTTAAAGAGAGACTAAGCACTGCACCGGTTTTAGCACTACCGGAAGGAGTAGAAGATTTTGTCGTTTATAGCAATGCATCAAAGATGGGTTTGGGTTGTGTACTAATGCAGCGAGGCAAGGTTATTGCATATGCGTCTCGTCAGTTGAAAGAACACGAGAGGAAGTACCCAACTCACGACATGGAATTAGCGGTTGTTGTCTTCGCGCTAAAAATTTGGAGACACTATTTGTACGGTACGAAGTGCATAATTTATACGGATCATAAGAGCCTTAAGTATTTGTTTGATCAAAAGGAACTAAATATGAGACAAAGAAGATGGATGGAACTACTTAAGGATTATGACTGTGAGATCCACTACCATCCAGGTAAGGCAAATGTAGTCGCCGATACACTTAGTAGGAAGGAGAGAAGCGGACCAATCAGGGTTCAAGCCATGTGGATGAATGTTAAAGTGGAACTTCTAGACCAAATACGGGATGTTCAGAAGGAAGCTTTACTTGAAGCGAATATCAAAAAGGAGAGAATGATTGGACAGATTAAGACCTTGACAGCCGGACCAGATGGAATATATAGACATGGGAATCGKGTTTGGATTCCTAGTTTAGGAGATCTAAGAAATGTAGTGATGGACGAAGCACATATGTCTAAATATACTATGCATCCAGGTAGTAATAAGATGTACAAGAACATAAAAGAAAGCTACTGGTGGCCTGGTATGAAGAGGGCAGTAGCTAGCTATGTGGGGAAATGTCTGACATGCTTGAAGGTGAAGACCGAGCACCAAAAACCATCTGGAATGTTGCAACAAATGGAGATCCCAGTATGGAAGTGGGATATGATCACAATGGATTTC